GAGATCATTACGAACAATCCGGCCTCGAACACTACGGTGGAAAAAAGCAGAGTTCTGGTTTCACAAAGAAAGCCACTGGACCCGGGACTTCTGTCGCAACGAAGCCTCCTCCAACACAGCCCAGTCCCAGAAATCACGAGAGGCGACCCTCTCTTCCTCCTAAGCACCTATCAAAGAAGGGTCACTCAAAAGTAAAGCCTGAGCAGCAAGCATACGAGAACGTGCCTCCTGCACACCCTTCTGAATAGTATCAATATGATGACCGAAACGACGCAACACAGGCTTCAAAGCACGAAGATTCATACCAAAACTCACAAGAGGAGAAACCTGAGAATGAACCTTCCACGTGTCCCGAACAACTGACAAGAACAGGGGATCAGCAGCCTAATAGTCAAAGAACCGAAAAGATAGCCGGCACCTATGCACCACAGCACCAACAAGAAAAACAAGAGGGCAATGATCAGAGACACCCCACTCGCGAACCTGAACCTAAAAAACAGGCATGGAACCAAACCAAGCGGAATTGACCAAACGATCAAGGCGCTTGAGAATAAGACCATCCCCCAAATGCATATTTGTCCAAGTAAACCATGACCCAGAAACATGAGGCTCCACCAAATCGGCCTGTAACAAAACATCATCAAAACGCTCCATATCTGTCAAAACAGGACTACCACCCAGCACCTCAGACGAGTGCCGAATAGCATTAAAATCACTCATCACCACACCAGGACCAGACCATGCCGAACAAATGGACACTTGAGAATCCCACAACAGAGCCTGCTCAGAGGTGAAATTAGAAGCTTAAACACAAAGAACCTGCACCGAAAGCTGAAAGACTCGATAAAAAACAACACCATGCACAAACTGATCAGAAATAATAATCGGGGAGAAATCATAATGTCCCGGGCGCCACAACACCCAAATCCTACCAACACTAGAAGAAGAGTAACTGCTGACGCAGTGCCAATGCACCTGGAAAGGGCGAAAGACAGAGGCAAAATTACGATTCAAAACACGAGTCTCCAAAAGACAACAAAACTCAGCACGAACACTACGCAGAAACGAGCGGACCTCACGGCCCTTTGCGGCGGCATTCAAACCCCGCACATTCCACGAGCACCAACTAGTCATGGGCTACAGGAGGGGAAGGAGAACCCACCCTAGAGACAGGAGACAAGCGACGACGACGAGAGACAACCGTAGTGAAACCCTCCT